GTCAAGGAATAGACTTCACTTGTTTGGTGCTGAAAAATGGCAAGACTCACTAGGTATGTACCACTTCCATGGTTCGACTCTGGAATTTATCATGTATACTATGGACATAAATAGACATAAATAGAGGCCACAACATCTTGGTCTTCATATCTAGTATTAATTTTTGTAAATAAGTAGATTTTTGAGGTGGTAAATAGATCATATATAAAGAAAGAATAGTCAAATTTTTCGCATATACTATGGCCTTGTGTCTTTATGGATTTTTTTACTTCCACAAATCAGTTTAATATAAATAAGATAACGGGTATGAAGATACTGTAATTTGATCCTTATTTTGTTAACAGTACCTCTATACTATGTTAAAATAGTTTAATCGCATTTCCATAAATTGAGTTTGTTTACAAGACGACCTCTGGGAAAGTATCACGTCTTGTGCACTTGGGTATTCTTCCATGATTGGCTCCCAGACGTTTCGCTGCAATATAATTTGACATTTTTTTGAGTTGCAATTTATCTCTAAAGAAAGTATTCCTCATTTAGGACCAAAACAAAGATGCTAGCGAAAAGTCCGGGAATGTTCCTACTCGATGGTATTTTGTTGGATGAAGGCATAAAAAAGAATACGGGAGGCACTACAAGGGTACGCTTTCCTCAATCCTTCCTTTACCATGATCAAGCAGCGAGAACCTGACTGTCCGTTTGGTGTGTTGCAGCTCCATGGTAAGAATCTTGATTTTCGTATTTGGAATATATTACATTTGACTTTCAGACTCGAAAAAGATCCATGCTTAACTTTTAAATACAAGAGTATGCATTAAAGTATAAACATGTCAATAGTAACTCTAGAATATAAATATATGCAAGGAGTAGTATAGCAAGGATTAAATGATTAATTCAAAAAACACAACTATATTTACAAAAATGCTATGCAGCTCAAGGAGTGCTGAACGAATGTGAAAGTCAATTAATATGCTCAGCTTGATTGGACAATTCCATTGCCTAAGAAGGGAAATAACATTATACAAAATGACATCAAAAAGCATACATCAAAAAGCATACATATTTACCAAACATCTTAAATAAAAATAAAAGTTATTTTTGTATCAGAGGGTAACAGAGGTAACAGAGGGTATTGCAAAAATATGATTAGTTGCGAAGATTATAAGATTGTTGTTTGTAAATAGGATTTCAAAAAAATAGAACAAGAAACTAAAATAACAAAATTTTCTCTTGAAGTGGGTTGACCTCGTTGTCGCAACTTGGTCTTGTGTTCAGGGAGACTATGTAGAACGCACCGAGT